GATTTTAGATATTGCTGTGAGCCGATGATTATAGATTGAAACAAAGTAAGCAGTACATTTACAAAAAAAAAAAAAATTAATAAACTAAAAAATAAAAAATCATTTTCCCGACGATTTTCACTAAAAGACTTAATAAATACAAAATCTCTTGAAGATTATAATCAACACCTAAGAAAAATAAGTAAGTAAGCTTGTTGCGAAAATGTAATTAACCTTTAAAAATGACAACTGGAGTAGATAACGGGAATTTATGATAGCAAATAATTAAGTGAACAATTCGTTTACGTTCTCTATTTATATACTTTTATCCGTAACAGTTTAAACATTTGTCACAGCATTTAAAATATACACTGCAGGCGACAAAAAATGTGGTTTTAGTAAGATTTCTTTTTTTTGTGAGGAACAAAAAATTGTGGAAAATTAAAAGAGAAGAATAATAACTCAAAAGTAGACAAGATATGTGTATATTCACATGTAGGGCTGCACACACAGTGGAGGCAAGAGCAAAGGTTATAACTTTTGATGGAATAAAACGGAAGAAACGGATGGATATGTATATTAGGGTCTCCGTTATTTCAGGTTGGTTTTTTTTTGTGCAAACGCCCCCTAAAGTTTCAAGTTTTGCTCTGAAAAATATTATTTAACGTTAACAAGCTGTTTATTTTCAATTTAAATCATGCGCAAATCATTTTACTTTTCCCACGCCTTGTACATGGGACGTTTTGATCTTTTATATTATTTTGCTTTATTTTCTAAACAAACAAACCTAGAATTTTGTAAAAATTCATGGGAAAAGAAACATGATTTAAACACGGTTTAAATTTAAAATAAATAACTAGTTTCCGTTGAATAAAATTTTTCAGGGCAAACACTGAAACTTGAGAGCTGTTTGCAAAAAAAAAAAGTCAACTTTGGAAATAACGTACATCGTAATGTGTATGTACGCATGCATGATTGTTTTTTAAAACATGCCCAAATAATTTAAAAACTATGCAATAGTGCATACTATATGGTATATGTTTGAGACCATCGAGTAAAATGTATGCAAATAAAAATCGATAAAAATGATTTATCAAATATATAAGTATATAATAACGTGGTAATAATTTCACTTACCCACACTTACATCCGTAGATCTGTGATCTGAAAATAAAAGCATAATCCAAATATAAAGAAAAAAAATTACATGATATTTAAATATAGACGTTGATATATAAATAAAGATAGATTCATTCAATATTATAAATTCCAGTGGTTCGCGAAAAAAATAAATATTGGCATATTGGTTGGTGAAAAGTTTTTATTTTCACAAAGAAA